AGCCATTCATCATTTTATCCAATCAATTGCCGAGATGCTGCTAAGCTATTTCTGTCTTTGAATTTACATCATCCTACGGCGTATCATATCACACTTCCACAATTAAGCATTTTCGAAAGAGCACTTGCGGCCATCCACGTTCCATTCGGCGTCTCTCCTCTTACAACCCAAGTTCACTCCACCCAGTGGCCGCGGACAGAAGAGGGACAATGTCCCCACGGTTATACGACGTCCCCATCATCTCCCCATGTTATATAAACCCCTCCCTCCCCCATCCTACAATGGCAATGTCCCCACATGTCCCCACGGCTTCCGTGGCCACTGCACCCCACCATCAATACATATTTAAATATTCCTTATATAAAATTCATACCCCGGACGGAATAAACAACAATCGCCAATTCTCTTCTTAGCTTAAATTTTCATATTCAGGTTTCGTTTTAGACCAAGTTTTTTTACAGATTTGTATTCAGTAACACATTTCATTTTGGATTTCGTCGTCGTCGTCGCCGTCTTTTGCATATATATGTATTTGTAAAATGGCATGACAAAAGGAACGCGTGTATGTCTTTGAATGATTGAATATGCAATTTATTAACCAACACGGCAATATTAACACTATTGTTTTAGCGAGTACAATAAATACATAGTTGGGTTGTGATACTGGGCACATTACAAAATGTAGATTTCCTCGATAACTTGAACCTTTGTTTTGGCACACTCCAATTTCATCCACACGTCCAACGTCAAGAAAATCAAAACTCTCTGCCGTCATAATATAAACGTACAGTGGCCGCGGAAGCGGTGGGGGATTTGGGGACGTTAATATTGTAGGATAGGGAGGGGTTTATATAAGATGGGGAGATGATGCGGACATCGAATAACCGTGGGGACATTGTCCGGCTTCCGGTGGATTTACATAATTTATTTTGCATAAAGGAAACTTGTTTAATTTCAAATTATGCAAAACAACAATTTCGCATAATTTGAATTTCCATAATCTTAGTTTTCATTTAGTACGAAAGTTTTACTATTTCGATACCAAAATTTTTACGCTCCAGTATAATTTCAATATCAAGCGGTGGCAACTTTACTACCGAGAAATCAATACCTGCTTGATTATTACCAGATTTCCAGTGCAAAATTTGCAACAATGCAAAATTATGCGATATCCAACTACCTATGTAAAAATTTCGTTGATGTGGAAAGGTGTTTGGACAATAAAGATTATACAATACGACCCTTATGCAAAACATCATTATGCAAATCCAGTTAGAACCCCTCTGTCCCCACGCTTCCGCCGCCACTGCGTACATATCTGCACCTCAAATCTACGACTCGACTTGAGTTCAAGAAAATTACCGAAATGCAATTAATCATCAACCAACTCAAATAAATAAACTCATTTATTACCATTATTCAACTGATCAGTCGACTACTTTTGCCTACGAAATGATAATAACAAAGTACGAATTGTGTACGTACAAGGGGCAGGTTTGGTAGGAATGGAAGTGACACTTTGGTGAAACGCGATGACGGCCTGATTACACGGTGGAGCACATAATGCAATCCGTGAAACCCTGTTATTAGCACCAACCAACTTTTAAAACGGGATTAAAATTAGCACAATCCAGAAGTAGTAAACTAATGACGGTGCGGGAAATTATGGGCAATTAATGAATGTGCTTAATTACACAATTCTCTCTACATATTCTTGACGGACAGGAGTTGCTGAATACAATTTTGATATGATGATATCATCACGCTCGTGTGTGTGTGTCAATTAAGGGCGAAAATTTGGTTTTAGAAATAAATTATGTATGTAGGTACGTGTACACCTTTAATGAAAGAAAATACATAATACTGAATTATGGGGCATTTTAATAAGCAATTTTGTACATTGATTTCCAAATAGCTCGTTGTGTATTTGTAGATTAGAAAAGGAGCTAATTTGAACAAGAAATATTTCAATTGTTGGCAAAATTTGAAAAAGATAGTTTTTAGAAAGAAATTCTTAATTAAAAAAAGTTTGTCTTCTAAAAACTTTGTATTTTAATGAAAGAAAGTGTATAATATTGTATAAAATTCTGGGGCATTTTAACACTAAATTTTGCATAATGCTCAATTTTACCCTTTTTATGTTACAATTTTTAGATTAATCAAAGAAACTGCACACTATTCTGTGTAGAATTCTATTCTGGGGCATTTTAATACTCAATTTTACACATAGATTTCCACGTACTTTATTCCTTCATCTCTGATTTTACAGTATTCAACTATGTATTTACAAAAAAGAGCTAATTTGAGCCGGAAATATATGTATCTCCGTTGGGTAAAACTGTGCTGGGAAATGTCACTAGAAAGAGAGAGTGTAGATTAGCTGAATAAAAGGCATTTTTCGGGTTGGAATGCTCCGAGACCTCCTGTGAACTCAAACAATCCATCAATCAGACAATCCTGTCACTACAATCTTTCCAAATATCCGAAAAGTACAAACTGGGTGACAACTAAGTAGTGCCGACCGAATGCGTAATAAATACACCAGTGCCGACACTCTCTACCAACCCACTTCAAATACATTGAATAACACAGCTTATTAGTTTAACTGCATGATATGTAACAAAGCGACATTCTTTTATTCCAACGGGAGGAATTCAGCTCTTAAAAATACTGACTTTTGTGCCGTAAATTTTTCACTTTCAACCCAACTTTTCACATCTCTAACAATAACCAGAAGTCGACTAGTGTTACGAGAAAATAGTCTTAAAAATAAGGGCGCAAACCATGTTCAACCCAGATTATTTTCTTACCATCTCAGTTTAAACGACCAAGTCTTTAGAAACAATATTTAGTGCGGAACTTGCGGAGATGCGCAAAATTTAGAGCGATATGGGCGCTCCAAGCTCGCGAAAAAGCTCGGTTTTCAAGCGGAATCTGTGCCTTGCAACAGAAATCGCGCGTTTTCGCGAGCTTGGAGCCCTCATAACGCCCTGAATTTTGCGCATCTGAGCAAGTTCCGTACTAAATGCTGTTTCTAACAAGTTGGTCGTGTAAGTTGAGATGGACAAAAAATAATCCGGGTTGAACATGGTTTGCCTTCCCATTAAAAGTATCTACGTAAGCAGTAGTTCATCAAGAGTGATAAAATGAGGAGGAAGTGAAGACAGTTTTCACTCCCCGTGATTATCTCCCACTTCTCTTCGAGAGACACTCACTTGCCCAATTACTGTTCCCTAAAAGTGTTTGTTTAACCAGAAATCTGGCTTTCATCGCATGTCTCACTTTTATCTCGGTCGTCGTAATTTATCGCCTTTGTTCTTGCTTTCTCTCAAATGTGCAATAGTTGCGACCACTTTTGCAATAAAAATGCGAGGATAAAATAAGTACGGTAGACAAAAAAAAATAGCGAGAGACGGCTTTACATACGTAGGTCGAAGCACTGCCCACCCAAGTAATTAATGGGGCTGCATAGATCAACTGATAATTTACGCATTCTAATGAGCCAGCCAAAAGCCACCACTTGATACATACAGACAACAAGAATAAACAAATACCTAACTGTACTCGTAGGCATACAGTGGCCGCGGAAGGCGTGGGGACATGTGGGGACACTAACATTGTAAAATAAGGACGGAGTGGTTATATAACATGGACATCTAATGCTCGTGGGGACATTGTCCCCCGTCCACACACTTCCACGGCCACTGCTCGTACATACATATGAACTATGAATGTCGTCGGCTGCAGTGACCGCGGAAGGGTGTGGACAATATCCCCACGGTTATTCGATGTCCCCATCATCTCCCCATCTTATCTAAACCCCTCCCTCTCCCCCCTCCTACAATGTTACTGTCCCCCGATGTCCCCACCCCTTCCGCGGCCACTGGTCGACTTGCCATGCATGCATGCATACATAATTTTTTTTATTTTGAAAGCGAGATGAAAAACACAACCACAATTAAACCCTGAGCAACTTAAGATATGAGGAAGTTTATAGACGTAAAATGATAAACAATTCTTCACTTTACTTGCACAAACAACAAACAATCAACTCACTCACTCGCCAACCAACAAACAATTCATTCTCAATGACCTAAAAAAAGATCATCACTCGCCAGAGAAGGATATCTTTTGGCCGTTTAAATTTTACAGTATGATTGCTGATTTCTTGATTGCTTTTTACATTTAGGTTTAATTTTTAAATTTACATGTCCGTCCGTGTGGTTGATTTGGTCACAATCTCACATCAACATTTCAAAAACCGTTTTGTTTTAATTTTAGCCAAACTAAACTAACTCTGCCCTCTTGTCAGGCGAGGCTTCAAGAAATGCGAATCTTTCGACTAATAAAGTCTGATGGAAATTACTCTCAACGGGTAGCAACTAATTAAGGTGATAAGAGCTCGCCCTTTTAAATGATTGTCGGCTTTTTTATTGTTTTCAAATTGCTAATCCTAAATTCTAAACATGACATGGAATCAAAATTATAATCAGGAGAGGAGAGTATGTATTTTGAAGAATGACCGGATGGGGCAGAAAGTTAGGTGAAAAAAATTAGCTACTAAATACATATGTATGTACGCAGACTTTTTATGTAAACGTGGGCCATGAGATATTTACATATACGTGAAAGCATGCATGGTAAAGAAAAATCTTGAGCGGATTTCATGCAGAAATTTGGCCCGATTTTTTCACAAATTTAATTGAACGGCTTTCCTCTTGAAATTTAGCCCGATTTTCGTCAGAAATCTGGTCCGAGTTTTTTTCAGTCATTTATTTAGCTCGATTTTTTGCAGAAATTTGGCACACTTTTTTTACAGAAAAACTTTGTGCAGAAAACTATGCCCAAAATTATGCACATACAGTTTTGCATATTAAAATAGATAGAAATTTTCTGCAGGATTATGCAAAAATATGAAGAATACAATACAATATATGCATCCAGCTTTTGTCAATTACTGCAGAATTCCAAACAGTGATTTCTACTCGGACAAGTTAGAATATGCATGCGGGCTACATTTTTCATGCCAAGAAATCTTTATTCATGTACCCATTACATACACCAGACCATTTCTTACGTAACTTCATAATTGCCTGATTAAACCTAGTAGCTCTTTAGCCAAGAGCAATCTCCACGTCAGGATTACAACTCACCGCATCTCCCGCAATATCGCACAAATTACCATAATTCCTCCTCATCTTAATATACCCGCCATCCCCCCATCCATTCCCCCACTGATTTTTCACGATCCAGTAATCCTTCCCCCCTTCGGACCCATATCCGACGGCAAGAACGGCATGATTTCTGCCCCCGGAACATGGCGCGTCAAAAACCCCACTTCTATAATTCACCCACGCGTCATTGACATGAATCGCGACGGAAACCGGGCCTCTCAGACCGACCGCGTTTTTCAGCGCGTTCTCATCCCGCGCCGCGATCGACCAGTAGTTCGGCGTCTTGGCGGGATGCGACTTTCCCCCCGCGCGGCACGAACTTTGCCGCCCGGTGTAGCCATACTCGCCCTCCGTCGTTTCGCCAATGTCTTTAATGTACTTGAACGTGGGGCCAAAGCCGTTCCCGTCGCAGCCATTATTTCCTGGATAATTTGCGCCCTGTGCGCAGTCCAGTAATTCCTGCTCGGCAAGGTCGATCTGACGTTGACCGTGGGTAAGGGTGTAGTACGACTCGAGACATGCGGTCACGGAGAAGAGGACGCAGCTTCCACAGCCGCCCTGGTTTCGAACGGGGGTCACGAGACCGTAGTTTCTCCAGTCTATGGATTGTGGGGGTGTGGCACGAGTTTGACGAGATGAAGGGGAGGAGTGGTTTTCTTCAGTGGAGTTACCTTTGTAACCCGTGTGCTGGCTGATAACTTGGTCAATGGTCTGGTGGAAGGTTTAATGTTTTTATGAAATTTCGAAAAATGCTTCGTTTAATTACTACTCGTTAAAAATAGAGACAAAAGTGCTTAAATTTCTCTAAATTTAATTTTTTTGTGTTCTAGCCTCTCAGATTTTTAAGAAATATTTTTTTTAATTTGAATTTGTTTTTTATGTGCTCTAACCTCTCAGATTTTTTAAAAATTAATTTCTCTAATTTGAATTTTGTGTGCCATAGGCTCTCAAATTTTTTACGAATTAATTTCTGTAATTTGAATTTGTTTTTTCTTTGTGTGCTCTAACCTCTCAGATTTTTTTGTCTCTATTTTTTTTAATGAACCGTAATGGGTGCTGCTTTTACCATATCGGAAAATTTATTGACACCCATTTCATACGATGCTTTCCCATTCCTCGCTTTAGTATTGTGAGACGCAATTTTCAGCAAATTCGTCTTAAACGTGGATTTACTAGATTCTGATGACGACTCGGTGGTTTTGTTGTGCTTTCTCTATTAATGAAATTTAATGAGGTGCAACAAAGTAAGGGTAAAAAATGTGTACTGAAAATCATAGTTAGTTAGTTGAGTTGTACCCTAAAATTATCGTATGCCTTGTTAACATTGACCGGATTACTTAACACGGCACTGAGCGAGGTAAGAGGATCCGAAGAGAAAGTGTCAACTCCCATATTTTCAAAGATCCCATCAGAATTCAACAGGGTGTCAATTTTATTAGAAAAAGCTGCAAAAGTGTCGAGGCCACGTTTAGATTGTATAAACTGCAATAATTCTCAATATCTCAACTTACCCCCATTGCTTAAAGTCACCAAGAGGACGACGACAGCTTTTATGATAACTTTCATTTTTACTTTTATCACAATTTATTTGGGTAAAAAACTACTACCTCTCGAAGTAGAGCTGGCTTTCTTAATTTATATTAAAAATTTTAGCTCGTACCTTAATTATGAACAGAATTTGTTATAATGGCCTTCACGCGAAAATCTGTTGTGGCCAATTTACTGAGAATTTCCGAATTATGGGATTTTGTGGTTTTTGCACGTATACATTTACAGCATGCCTACTAAATTAACTACCTTAATGCATTATATAAATACATCTAAAAACCTTTAACCGTTTAAACAATTAGTATGTGTCAATTCCCAAAGTAAATTAATCGTAGCCTCGTCACGTTATAGACCACAATTTTAGTGCATTTTATAAATTACAATTTTTCCAACATTTCACACAAGTATCGACTTAAATCAATAAACAGACAAAATTAGTCAATAAGGATGTAAAAATGTCACAGTTTTAACTTGACAGTTAATACATACATACAAATATTTTCATGCCGTCACATAATTGCATAACTAAAATCTGCTCTCCTACATACACACATCCTGCTTTATCCCTCATCGACAATGAGCAATAATAAGTATACAACCAAAAAAACAACCAGATTCGATTGTGCACTAATACGAACGGAGTACGAGTGTATAAGTAGAAACATAAAAGAAGTAACAAAACCCGACTTTAGAAACCCTTAAAAACTGTGTAAAGAAATCCCCAGGAATTTGAATGAGGGGAGCATCATAATATGAAGAACGATGTGAGTGAATGTTTCTTCATCATTTATAACAAAACACATGTGAATGTGATGTGAATTTTGAGATTTAAGTTGGGCCTAGTAATTATCATCTTGGTTCCTTCATAAGCATATTGCCTTCTTCTTCCCTCCCAGCATTCTGAAACTGTCAGATGATTGTTTACACACTCTATATTTGGCATCATTTCCCAGATTTTATTATTTACACGGCTCAATCCTCCATTTTCCTCCCAGCAAGTTCTTTCTTTCTTAAGTCCAATTCCGACTTATGTACTATTCAGATTTCAAGCCTGTCTCGGTTTTGGTTTGGTATGCAATTCCTCCAATTGTGAGTGAGAAAGACAATGAGATTTGCTTGGTGTGTGTGTGACTGTGTCTTTTGTGCTCAAAATAAAATCTTACTTGTTCTTAAAAACTGTAGAGATGATTGTCGGTAATTAGAATTATGTGTATGCATAGTCGCTCTTGTCGGGACAGTCATAGATGATGTGCAACAATGAGGTATTAAGTGGTATGAGCTGCTTATTGTGATCGTTTTGTCCGTCTGTTTGTATGTCTGTCTGTAAGCAGGATATTTGTAGAATGTTGTAACATTATCAAACGCCTTTTCCACTATTACGCCTCTAATTTTTAGTTTGAGCTCAAAAATGGGATCAGGTCAAGGTCAAGGTGACCCTGGTATCAGGTCAAATGCCAAATTGGACTTTATTTCCGTATGTGGTGTCATTTTGAAGGAAATTTTAGCATGAATTCAACACCGGCAATATTTTTGATCTCCGACCAACCTATGACCTTGAGGACGAGGTCAAAGGTCAAAAAATACATAATTCTCATAAATGGTGTCCTTGTTTGTAAAGGAAATTTCAATAGCTTTGACGCCACTTCTTTACATTCGTTTACACCGGTTTATTCACTCCTAAAAACAAATAATATGTACATTGACTTTATGAAATTTAATATTAACAAATTGCCATTGTCTGTCACTACTTTTTTTATCTCAAGTTCTTCCCATAATTTAGATAGCCCCACTTCTCGCATGAATTAGAGGTGGAAAACTACCTCAAACTGAGTCATTGCCCTTCCGACACCTTTGCTTTGCAATGGTTCCCTAAAACGATGGGGAGTTGACTTGCAATGTCTCCACTAATTATTGTTCTTCTTACACCTAATCTTCCAATTCCTAATTCAGTTTTGGCCATTTTCCTCACTCTCATGCTGCCACGACACGCTCACTTTACTCGAAAAAAAGCTACACCTTCATGTCGATTGTTATAACGAGAAGAGAATCATCATCGTCGTACTATGACTTACTACGAAATAATAACGCTATGCACCAGTGGCCGCGGAAGCCGTGGGGACATTAACACTGTAGGATGGAGGGAGGGCGGGGTTTATATAAGATGGGGAGATGATGCGGACATCGAATAACCGTGGGGACATTGTCCCTCTTTTTTCCGCGGCCACTGCACACCAAGTAATCTCGTAAGTTGGCATGAAACCTTTAGTTTTCCGTTTTTGATGGTCTTCTTGCGGTAATTTGCTTTGTGAGCCTTAAAAGGCAAGAAATAGAATCTCTCTGCGTGAGGAGGATTGAGGTGAAAGAAAAGCGTGGTCTCATTGAGGGCCCACGTTAAATAAATGTTATTACCAATTGGAATTAGTGTAAAAGAAATTCTTGTGTAATAATACAATTTCTATGAATTCATCCCTAATGTTTTATTTTATTGGAAGGTTAACGATTTCCAATAACTTGTTTTAAATAAATAAATATTATGGAAAACGGTTTTAATTTTTTTTCAATATTTTTTTGTACGCTTCGTAATGTCAACCCAAGTTTGTCTTTGCAGTGAACAACATTCCTTCAAATAATTTTTTACTAAAAAGCATTCAACCGAAGTACTTGTTAGCATTGTGTGATCATCTATCTAGGATGATGAAAAATATTAAATTCGAATGTCAAAATCAGGCAGAAAATCGAACAATGGACAACACGACTAGGAAATATTGATAAAAAGCTAAAAATCACGAGTCATCTTGAAAGAACAAGGTCCGCTATACATTTGGATAAATACGTACAAGCTCTGTACATATTATTCCTATACCAAAGTTGCTGCTGAGACTAAAAAGCGTGTAAAAAGAACGAACCCTTTTTCTACCATAAGCTGTAGTGTGTCCAATTTCAATATAAATGACGACGAGAAGAGATCATATCTGTATCGGAATCAGAAAATAAAACGTCTTCCTGAGTGGAATCGGAATTACCAATATCCCAAAATGTCCTATGTACATCTTCTTGACCATTGTGATGATTATAAAATTATAGAATTTGAATAAAACGCCCGCATTCATCATTATTCATACAACACGGACAGGACAAGACGACGAACATGCAGCCATATTCTTCAACATTTATTACTCTTGTTCAACAATAGAAATTGACAAACGTTCCTTCTCTCTTGTAGATTTTTCTTGACTTGGATGAAGGAAACGCTTGATTCAATCCTCATTCTCCATTGTCCTTTGTGTGTGTACTGTAATTTTTTCTTTTCGATAAAAAATAAACGAAATCTTTTACTGATATTAAGTACTGATGCTAAATTATGAGAGAGCAGTGACCGCGGAAGGGTGGGTGGGGATAGAAGAGGGACAATGTCCCCACAGCTATTCGATGTCCCCATGTTATATAAACCCCTCCATAAACCACGTTCTGCAATGATGCAATGCCCCCAGATGTCCCCACGCCTTCCGCGGCCACTGTAAAAAATGGAGGATCAACGTGCATCAGGCAAATTCAATATTTCAAATTTTAACATTACAACTCCACAAAATCATGATGTTCATGTCCATCTTGTCGCCCGTTCACACAATTTCTTTGACATTTTAAAGAAGTCATCATCTTCTTCAACTGTGTTTCTAATCTATGGTTTGAATCAGATCTCTGACTTGGGAAAGAAGTACATAGATTGGGATAAGGAGATTGGGATGCATTTATTATTCTTAATCAATCCATAAGTATCCTGTCTAAGGAGGAGGAGATGTGCTGCGTCTTTTTTCAAATTTAGTTTTAATATTCATTTCAATCCCATTTTTTAATGTCAGAAATATGATGAAACGAAACAAAAAAGATTAAGCCATTCACTTTAAAAATTAAGAGTGATTCCTTCCTCCTTTCGATTCAATTCGTATGTAAAGTTTGGAGGATGATAAGGCACCGACATTAAAATGATATATTGTCCTCTTTTTCATTCACCCACGCTAAAATAATCCACATCGAGTAACGTATTACATACATATATTTATTATTATTGAACTACTGCTGCAATAAGAATGTTTTGTTCGATTTAATACCGTTGTAATAAATGAGTAAAGTTTGATGATTGTTTTTGACACTGTTAAAAATTTCTTGGTATTAAAATTATACCGGTGTCCGTAAAAATTTGTTGTCGATATGGAAAAACTTTAATGCCGAGCTATTAATTACTACCGATTGGTATTAAAATTATAGAGGTCCGCAGAAATTTGCTTTAATTTTACGAGCCGAGCCGAGCCGAGCTATTACTGCATATCAATACCACCTTGGTTAGGGTATTCATACATGAATACCACCTGGTATTATTTTAATACTGGATTTCTGTATGAAATCCACGTGTATAACTAATCGATTCCTAATAAATTAAAAAATTATTTGCAATCCAAGCTTCACTTCAAGCATTAATCGTCATTCTTATTAGTTTTCCTGTACATTTTGAAGTGGTGCCTACTGCCTCCTGTCTCCTTAATATTTCACTAATCACGGTGACACATTAGTTTTTAATTCCCCTTCATTTCAAGTACAGCACATGATATTAATACAATCTTTAAAGTGGTTACAGTTTCACACCCCAGGATGATTCTCACATTTGGAAACTCTCAAAATCCAGTTTAAACTTTGTCATAAAGTTTAAACACATACACACACTTTTTATTGGGACGATACCGTTTTAATAGTAATTTTCATCACCGTCTCCTGCACCCTTTTTAAAAAAATAACATTTCAACATTTCAGGTTGAAGTGGCTGAAATCAAAAGAGCTCGCAAAACTGTTGGGAGCTCGATGAAGGGAGAAAATAATGTTTCATTCAACTTGTCAGCCGAATGCAGCAGTCCGATTGATTGATCTCTAATTTTTATTCCGGGTTTGCTTCCGATTTTCGAGTGGGTAGTTTAGTTTTCTAATAATCTACGGACGGACGGACGGACAGACAGACGGGTGGATTGATGATAATGGATCAATTGTCAACCCACGGAAGAGGAATCATTTACACTTGCAGTAGTCATAAAAAAATGGGTATGTACATA